TTCGCAACTATAGATTTACTGCATCAATTCCATCTACAATGAATTCGATAGTTTGCAAAATCTATCGCTAGCGCTTGCGAAGTAAAAATAAAATTATAAACTTCCAAACGAGAAACAACTCGATGAGCCTCTAGGGAGAAAAATAACCCCAACGACGAGAGCCTGCACACTTACTGCAAATATGATGCGTACGCTACCGATGACACTGTTTGATGTTATTTATGCTTTTAAAAGCTATAGCCTTTCTTCAAAAATATGTGAAAACTATAAGCTCTCAATAACAATAGTCAGAACAAATTGAAAATGACTGCAGCACCTATATCAACCATTTCATGAAATTGGGAGGCAAGTCTATAAGACCTCAGCAGCGAAAAACAAAAAACAAACCACACAGTGTGAAGAAATATCCACATATGAAAGAGCAAAACAATGGCAGTTTAAGAAATGAACAAAGCTAAAACGCTTACACAAAATATATAAAGATAAATACGGTGATCAGGTGTATCCTCAAAGGTTTCCTGAGTAGCCAACAACAGAGCGAACAGGTTTTGATCCTTAAAATTAAAGGTTTTCCTGAGGTAGCTTCTACAAATTCGTAAAGCTAAAACGATAACAGCAACAATTCAGCGAACAGGTTTTGATCCTTAAAATTAAAGGTTTCCCTGAGGTAGCTGCTACAAATTCGTATAACTAAAACGATAGCAACAACAATCACTACGGTGAACAGGTTTAATCCTCTAAGGTTTTCCTGAGTAGCCAAAATAACAATGAAAACAAGAAATCAGCACAGTTATTGCCAAAGCAAAACAGCATGAGGCGACAAATCTGACAATGAAAGTCAAAGGAAAAAGATCATCAATATCAAAACAAGATTTACTTCTTGTAAATGCTCATGTACGTACAGGACTGTTATAACAGCCACCTGTGGTAACTATCCGACAGATAGAGCATCATACACATTCCTCGATGTGGGAGGCTGTCGAAGTAAGCATCTCCGATGTGATGATGACTATCTAGTGAAATATAACTGTACTATTTCATATAGAGAAATTGTAATCGAAGCTAACTGCTTTGGGGCAGCCATTGTAATGAGATGCACGGCGATAGTAGGGTCCATCCGGGCCACCTGCGCCGACCGAGACATGATCCTCAAAGCTGGCGTTAAATAACTGAGCTTCGAGCCAATCTGCCTGGTCTCCACAAGTATCCTGAATGACGCCGACTGAGCGAGAATGAAGCGTTGCAATACCCAAAGCTGGCTGTTGAAGCACCGAAATTTGTTGGTGTCGTGGCCTTGACGTGCGTGTCCTTGACGTGCGTGTGGCTGGTGCGGTGACAGTAGAATGTAAATTGTGATGTGAGACTACGAGATCAGCTCGATGAGCCCCCGAGCTGCTGATTGATCCTATACCGCGCGCCGGACCATAGAATAAGACCTTATGCCGTCCCAGCATCATCTGCGTTTGTCGTCTCTACTAAATTCAACGCTGTCCGTCATGTGGGCCGATTCTGTTGGCATTGAGCTTCTCTAAGTTAACATACACGCTCCGATAAGATGGCCACTTGTTGTAACTGCTATTAACTTCAATACAAGTGTACTCTCAAAACCTATCACTGTCAAAACTAATTCGTTTTGAACTTTCGAGTCATTTTTCAGTCTGCCACCTGGTGCACAGGTGGCCAAATGGCGATTTGGACTCCACCTCCCCAGAAAACTGCCCTGGCGAGTAGAGTCCAAATCCGGTCTCCGTTTGGCTGTAGGGCCTCTAGGAGCTTCAGAAACGCATAAAACACGAATTCGTGTAGCCATTTTGTAAATTGACTGAACATTTTTAACAGGGTTTTCGTAGACCAATCAAAACACGTGTATTATATTATCCAATGACGTTCCCTGATGTCGATCCAGGGAGGCTGTTGAGGTTAGGGCCCGTCACAGGGACCGCCTCTCCATCGTGCTCTCTATAAACTAATAATGAAGAGACACGGTATTTTTGACTCTAATAAATAATGTACTAAAATGTCTGGAACATTTTAGTACTATGAATGGTAGCGGCAATTCTAGACTATGTTTCTGAATGCCGCATACTAATTTCTTGTTAGTAGCCCGCTACTTTCTTAAACATTAATCTTACTTCTTCTCTTACCGAGTCCACCACATGCTCTTCCTCTTTTACCAAGTCCACCACAAGCGTCTTCTCCTTCTACATTCAAGACTTCCTCTTCACTATGGCCGCCTAATCCTCTCTACCTTTGTCCTCATTCAGTTCTGTACTGCCCTAACAACTCTGCGCAAATCATTCCTTCAACAGAGCGGAAGGAAGCGTTCATGCCCCATGTGAGGTAAATGGCCAATATGATGGGCGAGGCTATCAGCTCCCACCAACAAAGAAAATCAGCAAATTTGCTGACATACGCTGGTGGGTTCTTGCGTGTGCAGTTTCATCTATGGCGATTTAGCGAACAAGTTGCGTGCCAACTTGGCGAAAGAATTACAGCCGAGTCTGGATAGCCGGCGCCTTAAGGTAAAACTTTCGATATGCACTCTTGTGGATGGTTATTCAGATCCCCGTCGTCCTGGTGGTTGCAGATGAAGAAGCTGCAGGTGTGGCGGACTCTCGGTCCTGCTGAGACGTGGGAGCTGGTGGCGGAGCAATCGCTGATATCGTAATGCGGCAAGTATTGTTGAAAGACTGCTGTGACTCGAAGGTGACAAAGTGGGCGACTCAACTATTATTAAAAGTGAGTGATGTATCGC